AGTGCTTGCTTCTAGCAGAAGGAAAGGAAAAACTGGAAGGACAGCCAAGAGTGTTACATACAAGTGGTAGAGATTATTACTGTCACCTTCCCTTCCCCAGAGGACTTTTTTTTTCCCCCCAGGGTTCTTGAATATTGTACTTAGGACACTTCTCCAGAAGAGGACATGTTCTAAGGTTTGAGGTTCTTTTTTTTTTTTTTCCTATCCCCCCCCGCCCCCCGCCCCAGGAAGGGGATCTTAACCGAAATATGACAAAAAGATGCAAGTATTACTGGAAGGATAATGTCATGAAAAACATTTTTTTAATTCCAAGTGTATATTCCAGATTTTGTTCTCCAAAGTTTCACATTTTCAAGCATTAAAGGGCTCCAGATTTTGTCTTGGAACAGGTAGAAAGCAGCAAAGATGATCTCAAGAGGATGAACTAAAAACATCGCTCATTTTAATTCCTAGAAGTTACGTAAACAGAACACTTGTATGCTATACACATGGACCACGCCTTCATAATTATTGTTTATAATGTACATACACATACATAGACAGCATGGAGGAAAGGCAAAGAAAACAGTAAAAGGACAATCCCTAACAGGAGGAGATATAAGAAGAAAGCTGGATGGCTGGGCAGAAAGGAGGGATTGGTAAGGGACTGGCACTGAGGTGTATCTGAAACAGCAACGAGCCTGGCAGTGTATGTGTTTCAGTTCCCCTTTGCCTAGCTTAGCTAGTAACAAAGCTACTGCCTAGGTAAACATGAGCAACAATTACAAGACCTCAGTAGCCACGAGCTGTTTCACAATTAGAATTCTTACAGAACCATAATCCTCAGATCAATATTTTAAAGGTAAAAAGCATAGTAGGCTTTTTGTAACCTTGGTGGCGGTAGGTAAAACACTACACAGCTAGTTCGGGCCAATTTTGCTTTTATTGAAACATTCATACAAGATTCTATTTTAGAAATGAATCTGTGAATTTTCTTCAATTAATTTGTGATAAAAATTAAGCTTCCAAAGAAAGGATGTGTACTGTAACATTTACTTTGTTCTTACCAAACCAAACCAAACTAATCTAGTTAGCAGCATTTAGAAAAGACGCATGAAATATGCTTGCTGAATAACTTTTGCTGCATGAGCACAATCTGTATCGTTTATGCAACTTCTCACAGTAGTACCTAAGCAGGTAAAAACCTTCTGGTATAGTACACAAAATTACTTCTGAGACATAACTCTCAGCTTTAAATTCTAGAGAAGCAAAATGGGTTTTGTCAGTCTTTTTTCAGTAGCCTCAGGCATCAACAGTCATACTAGCATGTTGAAGGACTCATTCGGAGGGAATGTGATAGCAAGTAAGGGGAATTAGCTACAAGAAACATTTCTCCCATTTGTTGTTATTATCTGAACTTCAGCCCTTAAGAAAGTAAGTATCAAATCTGGAGAAGGCTGTCAACAAATCCTCCCCAAAACAGGCTACCAGTGGAATGGCTGATAGGATGGATTTGAGCACTGGATTGTGCATAAATGTCAATTTATTCAATTGGTGAATACAGATCCGGTGACAGTGGAGAAGGTGTAGAGGTCCTAACAGGTGGGCATGGCAGAGTAAAAAAGCTTTATGAAAGGTAAAAGCCAAGAGTGAGAAGGCGGCAGAGGATGAATAAGCACTGTATATACATATCCTGTCCACTTAAGTGTCCCACTGATTTATCCTAAAGCAGAAAGAAAGTATCCTTCCCGTACACATGAACCACTTCTTTCTGTGGCATACTCTCAAACTTTAAGACCATCACAGCTTTTTCAATTTCAAAATCAGACTAAATTTCAGGGGAAGAAGAGAACTACATGTTACCATCTGCAAATGCCATAAGTCATTTTGGGACATCAAACACCAGAGCTCCTGTAACACTCGCACAGTGGGGAAAACACAGTTTCACAGAGAATTTGACAGGTGACAAAAGGACTCACTGGCACTAGTTCAAAGCTCACGATTTCAAGGCTTAGAAACACGAAAACTACATGACAAAAAAAAACCCTAACAGCGACCAATCTTTAACCCTGGTTCTTACCTCAGCAGGTTTCTTTTGTTCATTTGCTGGTGTTTTTGACTTGCTCCTGTATTTAGAACAAGAAGAAAAGGAAGTGGAAGGACCTGTTAAAAAAAAAAAAGAAAGAAGAAAAGAAATAAAAAGACCATTATAGCTCATTGCAATTCATTTAATTTTTCAGGAAAACACAAGGCACTCCAATCTCTTGAATTATCATAATTTTTTGACAAGACGTGGGCAAAAAACTCTTAGGCAGTCTGTAGGCTTGATTACAGCTCCTCCTGTTCCACTTGTTCTCTGTAAAACGACAGCACATTGAGTTTATGGGTACATCCTGCTCTGCCCAATACAAGCACGAGTAACAGAACAAGCAGACAGAACACTTTCCTTCATTTCCTTTCTAGCAAAGTAGAAGGCGGAGCAAAATCAAGAAGAGAGTTTGTAAGCGCTAAAGAAAAACAACAAAAAAACAATGATATGAAAGCATGCTGATGAGAGATGCCAAAAAAAAATAAAATCAGTGTGATGTCTAGACATTTCTGGGCAAAATGTTACCTCAGTACAGGATACGTTGATGACTTGCAACAAATACGGCAATGAATCATCACTACGTATAGAGTTATTAGACAGGCACAGGTTTATGAGAGACGGAACAAGACCCCGCCATACAAGGTTTTTTTGTGCATAAAATGGGAAGATGCAACCTCAGGCAGAGGTGTGTCAAGGAACATTTAAAATACAACTTTAGTAAACTGTATAACCAAAGTGGAATAGATCAAGAAACAGTATAAGATAACGATCAATATACTGGTTATAACTCTATCTTATGTATAATTCTATCATACCAATGCTAAAAGAGCTTGCCACCCCTAGTAACTTTGAAGTTGAGGTTCTGCACAAGAGACAACAGGACTTCTTTTAAAAAAAATAATTACAAAATAGGACCCTGGACAGCAAAATTTCTTTTGAATTACAGATTTCTTTTTCCCAGCTCTGACAGGGAAAGACATACAAGTTTCTCCTTAAACTCTAAGTAGACTTAAAAATGCCCCTGGGTTCACAGGATCCTTCGTCTCATTTTGCTCCTGTAACAGGATTCCAGACACCAAAGACCACAGAATGCAAAAAGAAATGAAGAAACATACATTTTTTTTTAATTGTAAGAGGTGAAACAGTTTGCCCTCAAACCACAGAAGGAAACCACAAGGGGGTGATAGACCAAAGGAAAACCAGGAGGTATTACTTACTCTCATTGTCTGAACTGTCACTGGTGCTTAGATGCCTGTGGCGTTTCATCCTGACGCATCCTAAAGAGAAAAAAAAAGTTGATGGCAACCATTCTACCAGAAGATGACCGGCTGCTGGCTGACGCCAAGCTCTTTGCACTGAAGGCAAAGCTCCTCTGAAGAGCTTTCAGGCATATAAATAATCCCAGTTCAGGCACTACGTTTCATTTCTGCAAGCAACCATTAGACCACAGCATTACTTGTGAAACTGAGCACCCTCAAAACCAGCATGCCTCTGCTGGGCAGAGCTTGCTTGAAATTTTGCAGAAAGGAGTGCAACCCGCCAGCTGATTCCCGGCAGGGCGTGAGCGGCGCTCTGCTCTCGGAGGAGACTCAATGTCCCATCTGTTCAGCCAGAGGAAGAGTTGCCATGGTGGCAGTCACTAGCTGAGAGTCGGTGGAGGCCAGGAAATAAGGTGGATGCACAGCAAGGCAAGGATCTAGAAATCGAACTCACCTTGCTGGGGCGGGGGGGGAGGCAAAAAACCCCAAAGGCATCCCTTCAAAGCAAAAGGCAGATTTTAAATAGGGGCAATGACAGAAAATGGTGACTGATGTCACTTAATTTATATTATTTGATCCCCATTTAGTTCACAAGAGATGTGGTGTTCCGTAGTTTGAGAAGTGATCAAGAGTATCGGTGAGAAATACCTCTGTGGCACTGCACCAGTTCCATTAAAAAAAGGTATTGAGCTTTTTGAAATTGATTTTTTAACACGTAGTGCATACAGATAACAAGAAAGAAGAAGATTCTGCACTGCTACTTAATAAAAGAAAGAACAAAATAGCAATCAGCTACATACTCTAAACAAGTGCCAACAGAAATCCATACACATTCTTATAATTCCTGCCACTCTAATAGTTTCCAATTACTAACAGTAAACTAAAATCATTCCTATCTTTTTAGCAGATTCAACAAGTAAATGGTGAGAGAAAGAGTCACAAATGATTCTGCAAGAATAGACACCCACTTTTTTTTTTTAAGCAGAAGACAGGCACAAGTAGGTTACAGACTGAAGTATCCTACCCTAGACAGATGAACCTGAAATGCCTACAGTATTTGAAGTGTCAGTCTTGCCACACCTGAAACTTAAACAGCTTCATTTCTCAAACAAAACAAAACCACATGCTATTTAAAAAAGCAACCAAGCTACATTTGTCATTTGATAAACCCTCTACATTAGTTACTGTACAATGGGTCTTGAGACTGTCCAAAGACTGTGGGATAAACAAGATCTCCAGATAAGAGAAGTCTGTCCAAAGGCTTTGAAGAGACTGCAGTTTAATTGCTTGCAGCACAATTGGTTAATTTACTAACAATTTTCAGCAGCCTTTATATTTGAGAGTGAGTTTTCTGAACCTAAATGCAACGATCACTCAAAGTTTAAAACAATCCTTTTGACCTATTTGTTATATAAAGATATTGCCCACACTTCTGCAAGTTGAAGTGATGTGTGCAGCTTTCAGTCAGGTAGATACAGAACTTCTGAGTCAGCTATTTAACCGAGGGGGAGGACAGATGGAACACAGTGGTCAAGAGGACAGGACACCAAAAGGTGTCATTTGTATCACTTTAAGCAGGCTATTAACTCCCATTTCACAAAATTAATTTCACAATAATTCACCTTCTCATAGCTCAAGCAACCTAGGGGAGGCAAGGCAGCCGTGCTGCGTAAGACGACCAGTGTCCAACGAAGACCTACCTCAAAACCAAAACACCTAAAGCACCGCAGGACTTAATTTCCAGCTAGCAATGTAATATGGCTCGTGCAGGCACTGGGCAGATGAAGAAGCTTTCACGAATCTTTTAGATAAAAGCTGTCTGATGGGCAAAAGGCACCAGGGCCAGAAGGGCTTGTCTTTGTGCATGTTTTGAGGACACCAGACTTGAAGTTTACTGGGTAGTGAGAGGAGGTCTAGAAGACCTCCTGATGTCTGATGGAAGTATAACATGGCAGTCAGGAAACAGTCTAGGCGATTCCTGCAGTGTGTGGAGGACAGCTTCCTATCACAACTGGTCAGTGAACCGACTAGAGAAGGTGCTCCCCTAGACCTGCTGTTTGTGAACAGAGAAGGTCTCGTGGGAGATGTGATGGTTGGAGGATGCCTGGGGCACAGTGACCACGAGATAATAGAATTCTCAATTCTAGGGGAAGCACTAAAACGGCCAAGCTGGACTTTGGGAGAGCTGACTTTGGGCTGTTTAGAAGTCTGGTTAACAAAGTCCAATGGGAGACAGCTCTCAAGGGTAAGGGGGCGCAGGAGGGATGGTTACTACTCTAAAAGGAAATTCTGGAGGCACAGGAGCGAGCTGTCCCTGTGTGCCGGAAATCAAGCCGCCGGGGTAGAAAACCAGCTTGGATGACAAA